GTGGAGTCCCGACCACGAGGGACCTTTAGCACAACGGGACGAAACCAAATCAGGAAAATGTACAAAAGTAACACTGGATTACCTCAAGTGGTAACCCCTTCTCAGGGGGATCCACCCCGGCTTCCGATAGGTTAAAGCCCCGATGGCCACGGGCAGCGGCATGGATTTTGAAGGCCGTACTTTATGCACGGGAAAGAGGAGGACAACATGAAATAACGACACGAACAAGAACTTACTAAACTTACCAAGACGACAGAGAATAGGCAGTGTGTCAAACGGCGGCAGCGGGGTGAGCTACATCTCTGCCGCTGACAGCCAAGAACCGACGATAGGACTCACAACGACAAACAACATACGAGACTTCACTGAACTGCTATGGCTCATACAAGAGACGACGACGAAAATGGCCAAAGCAGCAAACGTACAAAAGAATATGAATATGACAGTGAAGACGGGAATTAAGACAGCCCTTGAGACTGTGGACATTGCGTTACACAAGCGATCGGACGCAGTTTCGGGGACGTCTCCAAGACAACAATAATACAGGCATAAAAGCGGAAAATGGCGAAGAGACGCCACGGACGAAACGGAAACGTTCGCCGGCCGGAACCACGCCGGAGCCCTCACAAAAGAGAACCAACCAAGGACTGGCAGACGGTCACACGAAAAAGAACAGACAAGACAAAAAAGAAAACGGATGCAAAGAATCAGTCTGACAGAGGCGGATCAGCCTACCGGAAAAGGGGACTGGCTGTCGTGGTCAAACCGGGCATGGACACGACGGACTCCGATATAGTACACAAAATACGGACGATGATCGATCCGAAGGAGAGCCACATGCAGGTGACGACCTTCAGGAAGACGAAGAATGGCTTATGCCGTCTGAAGCACAGGTAGATGCAGATAAATCGGAAGGACGTGAGGGGTTTGGACGACAGATCCAAGATACAATCGGGGAAGCGGGCAGTATCAGGGCCATAACCTCCAAGGTCCAATTGAAGATCATGGATCTGGATTGCGTTGCGACTCCGGAACACTTGATAGATGCGCTGAGGCGAGGGACGGGAGAAGACACGGACTCCTGAGTCCACATTTTCGGTCCGAATTGCGCTGAACAGTATATGGCGGTCTGCGTATTGGAATCGTGGGAAGCCGATACGTTGCTTCGGCGTGGTCGGATCGGAATTGGCTTGGTGCACTGCCGCGTTCGAAAACGACTGACGGTGACAAAATGTTACATATACCTGGGCTTCGGCCATGTAAAAGTTGTATGCACAGGTAAAAACAGAACGAAATGCTGCCGTAATTGTGGCACATCCGGACATTACGCGACGGAATGTAAAAACAAACCAGTCTGCCCACTACGCTTCGAGATCGGGCACAAGGACGTCGCCCACCTTGCCGGAACCGGCAGGTGTGCCATGTTCCGAGCCGAGCTGGAAGAGTGCAGGGGACGGGCCGGAAGACAGATAGAATAGTTCAGGGAAACCTGAATCGATGTAGGACCGCAGACATGCTCCTACTTTAGATAGCCGACGAATATGACGCGGACATTTTGATCCTGTGTGAACCATACAAGAGAAGGACGACCCAGATCTACATCACGAACGAGACAGAGACCACTGCTATCTGGGTAAGGGGATTCACCCAATCTAAAGTTTCCAACCGCGGTGTCGAGAATGACTACGTCTGCGCTAAAGTCGGCGCTATCACTTATCTCAGCGTTTATCTGACAATCAACTGCACCGCGGTAGAGTTCAAAAGAAAGGCCGCACTCCTAGAAGACGAGATCAGGGATCTACCCGGGGATGTCATCGTTGCGAGGGATTTCAACGCGAGGGCGACCGAGTGAGAAATGCACGAAACGAATCGATACGGACGACTACTGTTGGAAATGACCGCAAGGCTCATCCTAGCAATGATAAATACGGGATATACGCCGACGTACAGACGTCCAGAAGTCAGAGACTCCATCCCTGACGTTACGATGACGTCGGACAGAATCCTGCCACGGCTGAGGAGGTGACGGATGATCGAAGACCATACAGTCAGCGATCACCACTACATTGCCTTCGAATTCTTGCCGACGGACGGAACGAGAACCCACCAATCCCCGCGGTGGAACCTACATAAACTCGACGGACGAAAATTTTCGGAGGAGTTGATGACAGCACCAGCTTCAGGAGTGAAAATTCTCCCCGAGCTGACGGGCCGGTGAAGAACGGAAAGATTGACAGACGAGACGGCCATACTAATAGACAGATTGTGCGGAAGCACAATGACGAAACGTCGACAGATACAAAAAAGACAACCACAATACTGATGGATGAATGAGATAACCGAGTTACGCAGGATAAGCCTGGTAAATCGGCGACGAGTGACAAGAGCTGGGGGAGGACCCGAAAGGGAAAATCTCCAGGCCATATACAAAATCGCACGAAAGACGCTGACGAAAGCAATACGGAACAGCAAGACGCGTTGCTGGAGGAAGCTCTCTGAGGAGGTGAACGAGGATCCATGGGGAATCCCACCGGAAATCAAAGATACCGAAACAGCAGTACGGATTGTTGACGGATGTTTCCGATGCATCATATTAGGAAAAACGTGATGGATGACGTGGACGTACTGGTGCCCTCCGCCTTTGCCGTTGAGGAGCTCACTAGAGTAACGAATGCGATGAAGACGGGCACGGCGCCCGGACCAGGCGGAGTACCGGCCTAGATCCTCCGGCTCGTGGCTCGTATACGGCCGGAGATACTTCTCAACCTATACAATTATACTTAGTGATAGGAACGTTCAGCGACTGGTGGAAAGACGCAAGGCTTTGGGGTCTGGTCCTTATCCCAAGTGGTAGGAGCAATCCTGGCATGTCTTCGGCGTACCGATCGTTGAATTTACTTGACAGGACTGGTAAACTCTTTGAACAATTACTGAGACCGAGACTAATGGACGCGATACAGGCTGGAGGGGGTTTCTTAGACTTGCTGTTTGGTTTCAGGAGGGGTCGGTCAGCGATTCAAACGATCCAAAAGGTGGTCGACTCTTTCCTGGAACTGGACAGACCACGCGGCACGATCTATAGTGTTGCTGGCAACGCTTGACATTAGGAATGCTTTTGACGTTTCAGCAACAGGTGGGGGGATATCTCGGAGGCACTGAAAAATAACTTCAGAATCCCACCATACCTATTTCAGGTTGTGAAGAATTACCTGAAAAACAGACGGATAACGAATGAGACGATCGAAGGACAAATAACGAGACAGGTCACCGCTAGAGTGGCACAGGGGTCGATACTGGGACCTGACTTCTAGAATGGTTTATACGATAGCTTGCTTCGGTTTGGAATGCCGCTCGGAGTGACTCTCGTTGCCTACGCTGATGACGTGGTGGCGGTGATTATGGAGAGGTCCCCCGAGCTGGCGTAGCTGACGTTAAACTAGATCATGAGACGCGTTGGACGATGGATGACAGACCACGGACTGCAACTCGCAACAGAAAAAAGGAACTGACATTTCTCATGAGAAGACGCATACAGACGATAATACACATGAGGGTAGGGACATACGAGATGGAGACCAAGAGAGAAGTCAAGTACCTTGGGGTAACCCTTGATATACGAAGATGACCTTCTGGCCTCATATACAAAAAATAACCCGGAAAGCGGTAGAGAGGATAACATTCTTGAGTCGCCTGATGGCAAATACGACGGAACCGAGATCGGGGAAACGGCGACTGTTAATGTCGACAGCTCACTCGATACTTCCTTACGGTGCGGAAATATGGGCAGACTCTCTGAAGACAAAGAAATACTGTAAGACAATGATGATGGTACAGAGACAGGGCGCACTGCGAATCGCTTGCTCCTGTCGAACAGTCTCTGCGCAGGCTGTTTTGGTGGTGGCTGGCGTAATACCCGTGGATCTCCTGGCCTTCGAACGCAAAAGAATCTACGGAAGCAGCGCTGACATAGGACGAAAGAACGCGACAATCGCCGAGCGTGATAGGACAATTGACATGTGACAAGGCCGATGGATAGAAGAACACAATGTTAACTGGACGAGACGACTGATACGGAATTTGCGGCTATGGCTCGGAAGGAAATTTGGTGATGTACATTTTTACGTCACACAGCTCTTGACGGGTCACGGGTACTTCCGACGGTACCTTCACAATATGAACAGAGTACGAACACCCGACTATAAGTACTGTGGACACGAACGAGCCGACGCGGAACACACGTTTTTCGCGTGTGACCGCTGGACAAGACTCAGACGAGAACTAGAAACAACGGCCAGCAGCATCACCCCCGATAACATTGTGGAGATGATGCTGCATGAACCGGAATGGTGGCGTTTAGTAGCTATCTATACGGAAACTATACTGAGACGTAAGAACGCGGACAACTGTCTGACAGATAATTGAGCAGACGGAGTGACGTAACGTAACGAGATACGAAGGAACGACACGAACGGACGAACACAGACAAAACCTCCAGTCAGAAGTAATATCAACATAGTCCCTGACTAGGGGAAGGACATAAAGGAGGTGGCGGTTTAGTGGGTAAGCCTGTTTTTTTTGGGAGTCCCACATAACTCCTTAGTCATCAAGATTAAGGGGAATCCGCAAAAAAGATTCCGGAACTCCTTGTAAAAAAAAAGAAAAAAAAATAGCTATCCTATTAAACGAATATGTATTATTTATGTTGGCATAATATAACCAATCTACAAACTGCGATATACTTATTCATTAATTTGTCAATAGTTTCTTATAAAAAATGTTTTTAGCGCACCTTTTTGTGCATAAGTTCACACGCCTTATAATAATTTTCGTTCGAGACAAATAGGAACTAAATAAAAAATCAATTATTTAATTTATTTTTTAATTCATGTTCTTCCAGAATTCCTACACTGAATCTATCTACCTTAATATTATTTTGGATAAAAACAAAACTTCTCATAGAAATATGTTATTTTTAAATAATTATAAAATTGCAAATTTACCTGATACGCTGCCGCATCTAATGCCATTAATTCTTTTTTTGACAAGTGTTCAACAATCGCAGCAGCATAACAATCTCCTAGCATATTATTTGTGGTTCGTATACGATCGCTGTCAAAAATAAAATACAATGAACTATTAGAGATCATGAAAGCTTATTAAAAAATGTTACATGTTGTATCGATCTGAATAGGACTGAAATTGTTATCCAAGTAAAATAAAACAAGAAACTAATTTGTTTTGTTATAAGACTTACTGATAGTATTAAAGGCATAGACAGGGGAGTCCTAGCTCTTATCAGATCGATTCAGCATTCAATGTGTATCAATTCAAAAAATACTCACACAAACCAATCTATAGCGAATAAAAGCGAAACGTCATGTACTGGTACATCTATAGCACTTAAAACAACTAATAATAGGACCAGAGCTGCACTGGGAACAGAGGCAGATGACACTGAAGCTGCCGTAGACGTTAATCTTTAAACATAAAATATAGATTATTATATATTACCCTATGATATCGAACAAGACATTTTAAATAGATATTTTTTCTGAAATAATACTTTGATTAAAACGGAATTGTAATTGTACTTAAATTGTAATTAAATTGTACCTGAGATTGTGTGAAAGACGCGTAAAAATGCGAGGCAAAAATCACCATGACCATATTTTACTTAGTGATCTGAGATATGAACCACAACCTTCTCATCATTTAAAAAAGGTATACGGGGGCTATTAACTTTTGCTTGTGGCACAAGCTCCTCTCCCCCCACCCACCCAATCTAAAATGCGTTTTAAATATTAAAATTTATTTATGTGTAATTGAATTTAATTTATTCATATAATTTATTTATGTGCATATGCAATGCAGATGTAGCTCAGCGAAAAAAATGATCAGGCACTACGGGAAACCGTATTCGCGTCCTATGGATCGATAGATCGTAGCCTCTAACAACTGAGCCTCGATTACTTCTAGCACTTGATAGTTATTACTGTGTATATTAGCTACACAGCCAAAAGTGACTATTACGGCGTCCCCGCGCTTCCCCCCCCCCCAATTAAGTGTGCGTGTATGTGCATATATATTGTATGCACAATTAATTACACTGTATGCATGCGAGCGTGTATCCATGTATGTACTGATTATTAATTAATAAAGTGGTGGAGCGAGGAAGGGGTGTAATAATAAATATATACAAAGTTTTTTTCTTAAATGAAATTTTCTTATTGATAAAAAATAAATCTTATTCTATAAGTCAGTTGTTAAAAGAATACTTATAGACGTTCTTCAATAATTTCATCGCTCTTCCGAATCCATGCAGCAACCATTTATGTAAAACTTTTTCATAAATTTAACGTTTTGATGTACGTACATGATTACGTATTTACCGTTATGATTAGGACACACACTAACTGGTTTCATATTTTTCAACGGAGAATAGTCCCAACCATTCAAGTCGAAAACTTTGAGGCCATATCGTTCTAACCACTCTTTTTTCAGATCTCTGGATGGAAAATGAAAATTTTCGTGGCATCTTTGAATGTGTCTGTAATGATAAATTTATGCTCTTCGTACTTGAAATCACCAGAGTCCCATTCTAATCCATTGCAGTAGAATTCCATTAAAAATTATGACGCTTACATTTTTCAGTTAGTTTTCACCATGGGAAGGGAGGTTTGAATAATCGTACGAGTGGTTCTTCGTCATAGTTAAGCAGAAGTATCGTTAGCTCCTTTAAGGCATACATTTCGCCAAGAATCATGAAACCTTGCATATCCACTACGTACTCCATTCTGGCTATTACTGAGCCACTTGAGGGAAAAGTCATCTCTTTAATACAACGATCTCCACTCTCTAAATATGTTTCTTCACATCCCCACTTATTTGATTGTATTGAATGATTCGATCATGTAAAATGAGACAATAGGCTGAAGTTCCTTCAGGAATATTTTCCCTTGTTTCAAACTCCAAGCGTACATCCATTGCAGAGTTCTTTAATGTATCATTTTGTTTAGAGCAATCAATGACAATGAGTGGTACTTGTTTTATGAAAGTAGATTTTTTTAGCATCAGTTCTTAGACTTTACCGTAGTATGACGGTTGGAAATTGGCATAAATGTCGTACAATATTGCAAACTAATGCTTATTTATTTCAATATTAAGATTACCATACGGATAACAATGAAAGTTAAGGAAACGTTTCACGTTACTAATTTGCAATGATCGGATATGCTAGCATTAACTGTTGGAATTTTTTTTCGTTTAGTTTGAAAAGCTCAGATGACATAACGTGGTTTTTCCAGTTGATTTGCAGTTTTGACTGTCCATACATGACCTGTCTTCATAGGTAGCATTGGATAATCATATAATTCCCAACTACGAAAACTCATTCAAGTTTCTTTCTTTTTTCAGAAAATCAAATAGACAAATTTTTTGAGTATTCGATGCAGTAACGTACGGCCTAAGCCATTCGATACACGTTATATCGATTTTGAAGTTTTCGATGATTGTTGCTATTTCTACTTTTGTTGTTTGGATAACGACATTTAAATCACTTTAAGTATTCTTCATCGTTGATTATTTTCTGATCATTTTCTGTTATTTATCCGGCATTTTCAGCAATCCAATTTTGACTTAGATTACGTGATAGCTAATTTTTCGTAATAGTTGTTAGACTAATGTCTTTGCGATTATCGATTTCTATTATATTCAGCTCATACTTAATTTCCTCAAACAAGTGACAGATGACGTTGTTCACAAAGAGGGTATTCGTTAAGATTATATTTTTTACGTCATCTAATTTACCATAAATACGCAATGAGCTATGCGAATTTCATCGCTATTTTTGAAAGATGTATTAGTGTACGGTTAATAAGTATAAATCTTATATCGAGCCAAGAATTCATTAAAGGCGACAGGTGACTGTATTTCTAGAATATTCTCCATAATTTCGTCGAAAGCATCAAAAAATTATGCAAGTTACTTTCGCCACAAATTACTTTTAAGCCGAGACTTTTTAGAAACTATAACGGGGATTCAGCCCGGTTTACCCCGTAAATATAAAAAAAGAAGAAACAATAAATGAGGAATGTCCGAGCGTAGTCTGGAGCCTCCTGGATTGTCCGTCTTCTCAGTTCCGGTGCTCGTCACGCCGGTGATAGGACAGCCAGATCCGCGCAGATTCGTAGTGTTGGCTGAAGAACGCGAAAGTCGAAGATTCAAGAGCGGGCTTAGGCGCGAAAAAGTGGAACGTTTGAAGTAGGCGGCGGGATACGATTAAATAAAAAGAAACTTACGGTGAACAGTATTTTTAATCAATAAAGGTTAACAAAAGTGGTCGGAAGGAGGGAGAGAGCACGCTGAGAGGGTGGATGGAGAGAGAGTAAACCAACAAGCCGGTACTTACAATGACGGTGCTCATCCTCTAGGCACGCAAACGAGTCACACGATTTGCGTAGACGCGCACGCACGAATTGTAGGGCACCACGTACACTATGCGGTTCGGTTCCTTCTAACGAGAGTTCCGCGCACAACAAGGTCCTGCTCTAGCAGCTACGACCCACGTGCGTAGATTCTCTGCAGGGCCAGGTGACGTCGCGATTCTTCTCTGGATAAGGGCACACTCACTCCAAGATCGAAGGAAAAGGGAGGCGTCTGGTCACAACTAAGATCCGAGCAAGGAAAGTCGTTGGGACAAAGAACTCTGTTCTCTCGCTCGCGAGTCCACACAACAACTCTCTAGCGTGTCGCCGGCTCGACTCTCGATTTCGTTCTAATGAGTCAATCAGTGCGCGCGGTCACTCGCTAAGGCACGACTAAGTCTCTCTCTCTCTCTCTCTCTATCCGCGCCTCGCTGTCGCGCACGAAGGTATCCCTGTGTACTCGCATCTGTCTCTCACCTCATTTACCTTATATCCGAACAGAAGGGTAATTACATATGTAGATATAAATAATAAATGAATATAAACATAATAAATTCATAAATACATAGGATAAGTTCGGAGAAATATGCTATATTTACATATCGTTACTAGGGAGAGAGAGATATAACGAGTTTGCAATTTCACTCGTTATAAAACTTTATGCTTTGATGTATCAATGCTTTTACTTTCCGATAACGATTGACGTATTTTACTGCTTTTATAGCCGCCACTACTATTTAAATTTTAAATAATTTCCATCACGTACTTTTCAAGTGTAATCTAATTGTTATCACTTCACGTTGAAAGTTTATTAAATTTCCGTCTTGGTCAACAATGCGTAATTGTAATTTATTTACACATTACGGTAGCTGGGAGATAAATCACATTTGAAGGAACATCAATAATTTTATATCCAGGTGGTACTGCAGGAAAAAATTCACGAATATCGTCAACCTTACTCCCATTCATATGTGCACCTGAGATAATGTTACACTCGATTCTCAAAACATTCACTTTGAGAATTTTCATCGTCAATCTCAACAATCATTTTGTCACCAAATCGTGTTCTAACTGGCTTTACTTTAGTGATCATATATTTGCATCCTGTCAATTCACTAACTTTTTTGGTGGATTTAAATTTACCACATGCAGTAATATTTAGTTGAGTAAAATCCATCTGTAAAAGGAAAAAAAAAACAAAAAAACAAATTAGTAATAACGACTCAACTTGTAGAAAAGAAAAAATGACTTGTAGCATATTTTGTATTTACCTCGTTGGTAAAATAATTTTATTCTTTCAATCACGAAGACACTTGACATAGTCGTCAAATACGATCGTAGCTTTCAAAACAGAACTCTATAGACCTTTCGTCTTTTTTATTGGATTTCTATTCTGAACATTTACTGCTGAGTCTGACAAACTCCAACATGATTTCACTGTTGTTCTCACCTTTCATCAGTCCAAACAGTTTCTTATTGGCTCTTGGAATATTGAACTAATTTTGTTTTTTAAAGTTTGAGATATCAATTTCATGGATATCTCGACGCATGACGTCATATATATTGATATTAGCGATCTCATACAACAGACTATCCCTGTTAGCGTATAACAATTTGCAATGCTCACCCACAGCACTAACCATATAGTCATAGTGGATTCGATACAAGAGAGTTTTCGACAAGTCTAAGACAGCAAGACCGATGTATATGGGTTTTCTCACTGTTATTTCCGTTTGCAAGATTTGAATCACCGCTAGCTCATCGTAAAAATATCTCTACTGTGGACATTTTGCCGAGTTATGAGAGCTTCAGTACCATATCGCTCCACCCACTTGCTCACCAATTTCACATCGATGCGTTTCTTTTGCTTTTCCATAGTCTTCCTATACACGGCATTGTTGAATAGTTTAAATAGCATTTTTTCAAACTTATTTTTCGCCTGTTTACGCATGTCGCTGTTCAAATCACTATATTTCCTCAACCACGCATTCTGATTAAATTTCAAAGCCCGATAGATTTTCTTGAGACGTAAATCATGCTTTATTACTTGCTTC